GCTTTATTTGAAGTAAGTTCAACAGGATAAATTTCTTTAGTATACATACTGAAGTCGTCATTATTGAGAGCCAATATATCATCCAAATATCTAAAAGTATTGTTAAATTTTTGTATCAGATGTTGTTTCGATGGGTCTTTGCTGAATTTAGTCATAAATTGTAACTCATAACAATACAAAAACAGGTCCGCAATAAGTGGTGCACAGTTAGTCCCCATTGGAATTCCAATAACTTCACGATATACGGAATCTCCAAAGCGAACAAAAATGTTATCAAGTAAAAATTCAAGGGCAGATATAGTATCAAAGCATGTCCAATTGACATAGCTCTTTTGTTTGTTGCTACTAAAAAATGACCTAAAAGAGTTTGAACATATGTATTCGCATTCCGACTTTTTAAATGCCAATTTAATTAGGTGTGTGAATTTTTCTTAATAAGAATATGAGGCAAAGTGGTATATAGGGTAGAAAAATCAAAACTTTGAACAGATTCAAAATCACCAATATATGCATGCAATTTATCAAGTACTTCCAACGAGTTTTTGACACTCCAAAAGTAGTTAATTCCACTATTTTCAAAGGCCTTATTTGAACAATTTATTATCAGGTTTTTGATTGTACCAAGTGTTCTAGTAAGTAGAATAGACAATTTAGTAGTGGAACAATGACTTGAAGACAAAATAAATCTATATTTGTAAGGTGATTTGTGTAGCTTCGGAAGACAGTACATAGTTGGGACTTTCATTGTATTTGGTTCTGCTTGTAAAGAAGTAGTTAATAGTTTATGTTTGTTACAGATATCGTTTTCTGAAAATGAAGTCAGTTGGAATGTTGGTGAATTCGTGATTTCCTTTTTCCAGAACCTCAATGTAAAATTTACGTCAAACTATAATAATATTATTAGCAGCTTTATCAGCCGGGACAAAAACAAATTCCTTGGCTAGTTCTTTTAGTTTATGTTTGATACGAGAGATAGGATTTTTATGGTTGTTGTTAAGAGTAAAATGTTCTTTAAAATGTTGTATACGTATATTAACTATCTTCATTACTGAATTAAAAAAAGAGTCCAAAGACTTTTTGTCAGCTTTTTCCCGTTTTATCCATTTCAAACAGTAAGCACGAAGTGAGTCGTGGATGATATTACGACACTAATTCCAATTAATAATTGACGGGGGACGATATTTAGGTCCTTTACTGAGGAATGATTTTAACTCTCGGTCGCGAACGATGTTAAGGTCTCCTGTTATAACATGGGAAATGGGGCCATAAGTGTATTCGGAATTACTACAATTACATGACGGAGGTGTATTTACACTGATATTTACATCTTTACAGACTTGGCTATAATTAAACACAAATTTTCGGGTAGATTTCTTGTAAATATAACAAATAAGAGGGAGTTCAGTATTATCAAAATATCCAGGAATTTGTTCTTTAACAAAATGGTCTTTAAAAATACCGGCAATATTTACAAAATCAAAACCTTTATTGACATACCGTATAGCGGGTTATTTTCGCGATTCAGGGGCAAAAAAGTATTCGAAAAATTTTGGCGTTTTTTATTTTGGTGGATTCTTTACTCCCAATTAATTATTTTGGCGGATAATGAAATTGTTGCATATAAAATATTGAAAAATTGAGAAGCAAGTTAATTGATTTGTTTACCTAAATGACGTCTTATTTATTGATTATGACCGGAACTTTGATGTACTTACTAATGAGGTTATGAAATTATCAAGACTGATTTACAACTCTTATGTAATTTGACACTAATTAATAAGGGTAATTACCTGATAGAGTAACCTCCTCTCATAATCTATTTGACACTAATTGATAAGGATATACACACGTGACAGTCATTTTATAAAATACATGTATGTTCAATGCCCTTTTTGTTTATGTTGTTAAAACTAACCTATACCGTTATTGACCTACCGACCGACGCTTTAGCTATTAATAACAATATGCCATTATAATTTGAACGATTTCATACTTAGGACTGCAATATGAAATTGTGTTGCAATCCTCTAAAATTTTATTTAATTTATTTATAGGTAAAGAACAGAGCTTGGTTAATAGATAATGTCTGCCGTTGTTTTTTGAAATAGAAATTAGATCCGAAATATTTGTATGGTTGGTCCGAAATTTTCTTTGATTGCGATTTTTTCTACGCCCATGAGAACAGTTTTTACGAACAGTTTTAGAAACTATATCCAAAATGTTACCAGAATCGCTTGTTATTACCAATTCCCATGATATTATCATTAAGACCGAGAGGGTAGACTGTTTGTAATTTTTTAATCCAATTTAATTCAATTATTTTCCGCGATTGTACAAACTTTGAATGAGATTCACCAGGCTGCTTATTTACTACTTCTAAAGGTTGAACTGTTAAATATTTAATAGGATGATTGTGCTTTTTAAGATGTTGATAAATGATAATTTTGAATTTATTGGGTCTTTTAAAACGATACAAGTGTTAACGTTCTTGCTTGCGTTTAGATAAATATCGTCCAGTTTCACCTTCGTACTGAATACCGCATTCCGGTTTGTTTCATGTGAGTAAATAAATAATACTGTTTGTTTTTCAAGTTATATCAGTTTCAAAATTTAAAGAAAATGTGCGACCATTAAACGTAGACCTTACCGTATTGTTGGTGGAAAGACGGGGACATGTAAGTCATTTTTTGGCATGACACTTATTGATAGAAGGGTAACCACGATTTTTATTGTTAAAAATGTAAGCGATGGAAGTATTTTTAGATAAGCGATTTTGAAGATTGAGACGTGTAGATACCCTTTGAACTAGTTTAGATAGTCTTTGGATAGTATACTTCAAGTAAACATTCAAAAGTTGGCACCAACTTTATTTTTGTTAATACAAGACGTAAAGACAGGTAATGCCGATCTGACTTTTTCTATAGGTGCCAATCTGATTGCTTTGATTTGATTTGTACCCTACATATTTAGGTCCTTTACTGAGGAATGATTTTAACTCTCGGTCGCGAACAATGTTAAGGTCTCCTGTTATAACATGGGAAATGGGGCCATAAGTGTATTCGGAATTACTACAATTACATGACGGAGGTGTATTTACACTGATATTTACATCTTTACAGACTTGGCTATAATTAAACACAAATTTTCGGGTAGATTTCTTGTAAATATAACAAATAAGAGGGAGTTCAGTATTATCAAAATATCCCGGAATTTGTTCTTTAACAAAATGGTCTTTAAAAATACCGGAAATATTTACAAAATCAAAACCTTTATTGACATACCGTATAGCGGGTTATTTTCGCGATTCAGGGGCAAAAAAGTATTCGAAAAATTTTGGCGTTTTTTATTTTGGTGGATTCTTTACTCCCAATTAATTATTTTGGCGGATACTGAAATTGTTGCATATAAAATATTGAAAAATTGAGAAGCAAGTTAATTGATTTGTTTACCTAAATGACGTCTTATTTATTGATTATGACCGGAACTTTGATGTACTTACTAATGAGGTTATAAAATTATCAAGACTGATTTACAACTCTTATGTAATTTGACACTAATTAATAAGGGTAATTACCTGATAGAGTAACCTCCTCTCATAATCTATTTGACACTAATTGATAAGGATATACACACGTGACAGTCATTTTATAAAATACATGTATGTTCAATGCCCTTTTTGTTTATGTTGTTAAAACTAACCTATACCGTTATTGACCTACCGACCGACGCTTTAGCTATTAGAAAGTAACAAAAGTATGCATTAATTTTCACGGAATTTATTTTCGCGATTTTCTTTCATCATGTTCATCCGCCAAAATAAGCGAAAATAAACACCCCGCGAAAATAACCCGCTATACGGTACTTTATTTTAATAAAATGTTTTTTTATGATCTTCAGGGCGATCAATTTTGGGAAACAGTTTAGAATAACAATATGCCATTATAATTTGAACGATTTCATACTTAGGACTGCAATATGAAATTGTGTTGCAATCCTCTAAAATTTTATTTAATTTATTTATAGGTAAAGAACAGAGCTTGGTTAATAGATAATGTCTGCTGTTGTTTTTTGAAATAGAAATTAGATCCGAAATATTTGTATGGTTGGTCCGAAATTTTCTTTGATTGCGATTTTTTCTACGCCCATGAGAACAGTTTTTACGAACAGTTTTAGAAACTATATCCAAAATGTTACCAGAATCGCTTGTTATTACCAATTCCCATGATATTATCATTAAGACCGAGAGGGTAGACTGTTTGTAATTTTTTAATCCAATTTAATTCAATTATTTTCCGCGATTGTACAAACTTTGAATGAGATTCACCAGGCTGCTTATTTACTACTTCTAAAGGTTGAACTGTTAAATATTTAATAGGATGATTGTGCTTTTTAAGATGTTGATAAATGATACTTTTTAATTTATTGGGTCTTTTAAAACGATACAAGTGTTCTTGCGTGCGTTTAGATAAATATCGTCTAGTTTCACCTACGTACTGAATACCGCATCCCGGTTTGTTTCATGTGAGTAAATAAATAATACTGTTTGTTTTTCAAGTTATATCAGTTTCAAAATTTAAAGAAAATGTGCGACCATTAAACGTAGACCTTACCGTATTGTTGGTGGAAAGACGGGGACATGTAAGTCATTTTTTGGCATGACACTTATCGATAGAAGGGTAACCACGATTTTTATTGTTAAAAATGTAAGCGATGGTAGTATTTTTAGATAAGCGATTTTGAAGATTGAGATGTGTAGATACCCTTTGAACGAGTTTAGATAGTCTTTGGATGGTATACTTCAAGTAAACATTCAAAAGTTGGCACCAACTTTATTTTTGTTAATACAAGACGTAAGACAGGTAATGCCGATCTGACTTTTTCTATAGGTGCCAATTTGATTGCTTTGATTTGATTTGTACCCTACATGTATGTACCCGGTAAACGATGTTAAAATTGCTTGACAACATTTCTTGTGTACTGTGAAGTATGTAGTACATTACCTGTTGATTGAAATATAGATGTTATATTCTGATGGTTATTTTCTAGTAACCACAGCTTAATCGATTGGCCCTTGAAAAAAGTGTCTGTCCTTGCCGATTCTTTCCCAACATTAGACAAGCAAAGATTTATGGCCAGATTTATCCCGACTAGGACAATGCATGTTAGCGCGATACATGCCTTTCCTTTCTGACTTATTCTATTCCATTGTGTTGGAATGGAATAAATTCTATAAATAGGTAAATGAAACAATGAACGTATCCTTTTTAATACTTCTTTAACCCACATCTTTTACTTTCATTTCTGTCAAAATAAGTAATCAATGTATAATTTTTGCCTCCCATGCAGTACAAAATCGGTATTTAAAAAAGCGCAGTTGTAACCCCAAAAAATAAGTTATTTTTAGCTGGTAATGCATCATTTAGACGTTTTATGTCGGGGAGATACAATTTTTTATTCAAGCGTTTCTAAGATATCACAAATGACAATTTTCCATTGCTAACCAACAACAACCAAACAAGAGTTAGTATATTTTTAATGAATTTAGTCCAACTATTCATGAAAAGAGTATCTTGTTTACTCCCAAGTGCATCACTATTGATATTCAATAATGTTTGTCTTAAAAGATTTCCTTTCAGTGTTAAAAATCGATGATACTCGGGCACGTTTCCTATGTTGTTTTGATCGGGTTTCCGTCAAAGTCGTCTATGTTTATTGTGTTTTTATATAGATTCTGAATATGTTATCTGTTACACTTTTAACCCTCTTGTTGCCACTAATTTAATGTGGTTATATTTCGTTTCCCACGAATGCAGCAGCTGAATTTCATAATGTGTGACGATGACATCATTCAAGGGTGTGGAACTGGAAATGCTATTCCCAACTCGTACAACTCTGGCTCTCCAATGAAGAATCTTCTAAAATAAATTAAAAAAAATCACAATTGTAGGAAACACCCTCAATTTGCTGTTTAAAAGTCTTACTTATTTGTTCGCAAATTAATAGATAGAAGGGACACTTTGGTGGCTCATCAATGTTCTGCAAAACACCTATCTTGTCCTGAAATCTTGTCAGATAAAAGAAAACAGTTTTAAACTTGATCTATTATTTATTTTTCATTTCTTCACTGGCTTCAAAACTTTTCCTCTAGTCTCTAGATGTCTTTTACTTAAAAGTTTGCTGTTGGATTTCTGTTTCATTGATATGAACATCATTGTTCATACATCCTTTTTTACTTTTATACACATGCACACAAACAACTATGATAAATATCATATCTATTGTAATACAAAACAGTTCTGAGAATCAAGCTAACGGTAAAACACTTCAATAATTTTTTTCTGGACAAGTAAAATTTAGAGTTTTACTTGCCCAGGGACAAGTGCTCACAAAAAATATTTCCACATCCCTGACATTTTAAGGAATGATTTTTTATGAAGTGAGCTTTGTATGCACATACATACATATACTTGTATGTATTGATTTAAAATGCAAAATGGAAGCCAACTCACTTATAAAAATATTACATAATGGACAATACAAAAATTTTCAAACTGCTCAAACAAGATCAGAACATTTTACATGATCATGATGATGTAATGTAATATCCAATCATGTTTCGAAATGAAACAAAAGTGCTGACATTTAATTTTATTTTTCACTAATGCACAGTTATCAAAATTTTAAAGTCAAATCAATTTGGCTAGCTTTATTGTAAAATGTACCATCAATATACATATAACAAATTGATCATCTGTTTACTTTTATATTTAAAACTTATCTCTTGCATAGATGAGGTTTGACTGTCTCCCAAGTGATGATATCTGTAGATCATGTACATTGTAGAATGGGAAAACTTTCAAAAATCTTGTTAATTTCCTTATAAGTTGCTATCACTGCATGGGTGAATCTTCACTGGTTTTTACCTGATTTTGGACCATATTTAGTACAAAGTGACTTCTGTAGTATACATGAATATCAACTATTTGACAGGAAAATCATTTGATTTTGAAGGATACAATTTTGTAGTATTGCCATCTTCGTATTTAGTTTTATCACATTTGAGAAGATACTGTCATGATTAATCTTGAAAATTCATGTGCTTAAATATTCATGTAGTGAAAAAAAAAAAATAGCAACATCATAACAGTGGATAAGCAAGGAATTTACAAATAGTTGATATTTTTTATGCCCCTGCTGTTAGACAAAGGGGGCATCAAGTATTACCTAAATTCAATTACTAGGGGAAGTGTGCAAGCTGTACTATATAGTTGGGCGATCACACTGTACCCGTTATCAGTGGGAAGCGCTATAGGTGGTCCTACCAAATCTTGATTTTCAACTATGGAATCATGGGTAGAAATGTTATCATCAAACAGATAGCTGTTAATTAGTCTCCTTGGGTGTTTGATTAATTATCAGTTTGTTAAAAATAAGATGAGTAACTTAGTGCCAATTATTTAAAACTTCATTTGCAACATTTAGAAAAAGTTATAAAATTTTACAAAAGAATACATTGGTCATGTTGGTACCATTTATCATTAAATTGCGCCGAAGGCAAATGAAAACTATATCAAATCTGCTGTGACTAAAAATGTATTATCTATTTAAAAGATATAGTTGTTTTTATCAAAATATAGTCACAATTGCTTCCATTTTTAAATAGAACGATGTGTTGACGGAGTATGTCTCAGTTTAATATTTACAGCATCACCGAAGCTATATGCCGTAATGTCCAAGCGTAAGACAGGTTTCTTTTACATGTTTTAAGCAAGTACAGAAATACATCTGTCAAAAATAACAGAATATTTGTTGCTGCAGATGGCTTCAAAACAATTTTTAATTTCAAAAGTCTCTTGTTTTTAATCTTTTTAAGGTAAAAGGCATACTTTACTCCTGTCTTTTCGTCATTACCCTCTCCCTCACAAGATGTGCCTTATTCATCAATGCAACATCCCTATAGTCATTTTTTAGGTCTTTTTATAAACACAAGACTGAAGACACCCCAGGCTTGCATATCATTCAAATTTATGTTTTAAGTTATTACATGTTGTTTGCTTAACATTCAGTGGCAAATATTTCATGCATATCCTATCAAAGAGTTGTCACAAGTGTTAATTAACATGCAACTAGCGTAACATTCATCCTGAATATGTGAGGTTCTGGATTTAACATCCCTCATCCGACCTGACATGGCTGCTAATTTATACATCCCACGCTTGGAAAGACTGTTAACTGGACAATTCCAATGATTACCATATTTCTATACCCAACTCAACCCTTGAGATTGATATAGTACTCGAACAAATTAAATCAAATTGTCCTACAGCAAGACTTTATCATAATTAAGTATGAAGTATACTTACATAAAGATTATATTTTCATTATTTATTTGTTTACAAAGATCGTGATTGCAACTTTTCCTACAATTTTAACCTATAAACATGATAAAATTTATATGTCAAACACACATATTGTTTTTTAACATGTATTTTAACGGTTAAATGTTACAATATTCGACTGAAATGACAAACTTTTTCCGTCAACACCATTATCCAAGGTAGTATTACAGTCAAGATCTTGAGATTTATTTAGTACTCAAACAAATTAAATCAAATTGTCCTACAGTAAGACTTTATCATAATTAAGTATGAAGTATACTTGCATAAAGATTATATTCATTATTTATTTGTTTACAAAGATTGTGATTGCAACTTTTCCTACAATTCTAACCTATAAAATTTATATGTCAAACACACATATTGTTTTTTAACATGAATTTTAACGGTTAAATTTTACAATATTTGACTGAATTGACAAACTTTGTCAAATAACAAACTTTGTCAGTCCACACCATTATCCGAGGTAGTATTACCGTCAAGATCTTGAGATTTATTTAGTACTCAAACAAATTAAATCAAATTGTCCTACAGTAAGACTTTATCATAATTAATAAAGAAGTATACTTGCATAAAGATTATATTCATTATTTATTTGTTTACAAAGATCGTGATTGCAACTTTTCCTACAATTTTAACCTATAAAATTTATAAGTCAAACACACATATTGTTTTTTAACATGTATTTTAACGGTTAAATGTTACAATATCCGACTGAAATGACAAACTGTGTCTGTCCACACCATTATCCGAGGTAGTATTACTGTCAAGATCTTATGCAGGATTGAAGATATTTGAAATTGAAGGAAGGTCAAACATTATTTTCAACTGTGTGCTAATTGAGTTATAGGGTGTTTTGCATAAATTATCTCTATGCAGAATGCATTGCAAAAACTCTGGCCATTGATTTTTGTTACTATTAATAGAAATCTCGCTCTAATCCTGTTTCAATCACTGTTGGAAGTACAGGGGCAAAGTGATCGCCTTACTATATAGAGGGTTGCACACTTCCTCAAGTAATGGACTTCTGGTGTTACCCTTGACCGTCCTTCCTTTCGTCCGTCCCAAAAGTATTTTCACATATAATAAGCAAGCTTGAGCAGAGAGGGTTTTTTATTTAATTATATTCTGATATTTCGATTAATAATCTAGTATGCAATCATGGTTGTCTGCATTTCTAAATTTCTGTTTTATATTTTCAGTGCGTGATGTAGTGCGCAATGACGGCTCAGTCATTGGTCTTTATCACAGAGTAGATCATGAAGGATTCAAAGGCTCAGTCAAGTTTATTGGCACTTTGCCAGATACAACTGGTAAGGATTTACACTCTTATATGAGAGTAGAAAAGTTAATAGGGATTTTTGTGGGTACTCAAACTCTCCCATTTTATTCCAGTCACTTGAATAACAAAATGTATGTCAGGTTTAATGTAGTTTCAAAACATAGCTAGCAAGAGTAGAGAACATAGAAAACATAGCTAGCAAGAGTAGAGAACATAGAAAACATAGCTAGCAAGATAAATCTAATTGTAGTGCATTGCTGGTCAAATCAATTTAAATTTTGTGGAGTTAGGATTAAAGATATATCTGATAGAACAGCAGATAAAGCTTATAGAAAATTAAGCTATCTTACAGACAGTAAACCTTTGCAATCATTTGCAGGTGAAAATAACTGTATTGAATTCTGGATTAATTGCCTTGTGCATATACATTTTATGTTTTATTGTTATGACTTCCTGTTTCCATCTCATTAACTTGCTGTATTAGATGGGGAAAATTCACCATTCCTAATTACTGCTTTCAGAACTGTGGATTTTCATTGAGCCAAGAATATGTAATGTAAATTATTGTTTACCTTGAGGAAATATGATTATTACTATATTTTCTAAATAGGTTCATGGTATGGTGTAGAGTGGGATGATCCATCCCGTGGAAAACATGATGGAAGTTACAAAGGAAAACAATATTTTCACACCAGGTAAATTGGTTACAAAGGAAAACAATACTTTCACACCCGATAAATTTTTTACAAAGGAAAACAATATTTTCACACCAGGTGAATTTGTTACAAAGGAAAATAATATTTTCAAACCAGGTAAACTATTTGTTACATATAATAAGATAAATCCTAAAATAACAGATCAATTGATTATATCAAGAGTACCCTGTTCTTACTTCTAATGACTTTTGTAATATAGGAATCAATTTATTTATAATACAAATGTCTTTGCTCTATACAATTCAATCCACATTCTCCTTTTTGATATTTTTCATTTCTGTTCTTGTACAGTTTAGTAGAGAAGCAAATTTTCTATACAAATATTATAGCATAAATTTTATCATTCACAATTACAGCAGTAGTACTGGTGGTTCTTTCATCAGACCTAAAAAAGTTGATGGAGGTTATAGTTGTTTCCTAGCCATTAATGATAGATATGGCAAGACCAATGAAGCACATGCTGGGGTCATTATAGAGGACTTGTTTGTTGTTGATGGTCATAAGAAACAAACAAAGGTGGAAATGGTTGGAGCTGAAAAAGTCAACAAAAAGCAAAGGTATTTATTTCATATTCTAGAGAATAACTAATACAACAATCTCATGTAAAAACCAATATTAGATAACAATCTCATGTACATGTACTAGAGAACAATTTTATGTAAAAAACAAAATTAAGAAATTATTTTCAGGTAAGACCAATATAAGAAAACAATTCAATCTCATGTAATGAAAGAAAATAGCCAAAAATAGACAACAGTTGCACACTAAAACATATATGAAAAAAATCTCATATAATGGTAAAAAAACAACTTATAAACAAAAGTGTCACGTAGTATTATAAAATAACCAAGGAAATGTATATCAAGGAACAACACTTATGTTGTTCTTCACTTTGAATATATTTGGAAATGTTTGGTTTTGAGGAGAGGGACCTTTTGATATTATGTAATAATCTTTGCTAATGTAGGATAGTCATGTATATGAACCTTTCAATTATATGCTATAAAATCAAATCCCAAATCCTGCAATATCAAAACTGTGAAACAAACTAGTTTTACGGACCTCAGTTTATGTGGTCTGTCAAATGTGTGCTTGAAACTAATCATTGATTGTATAACATTGAAATGATACTACACTGTAACTGAGTATTTGATGAACATGAAATAGGCAACATTTGTCTCACTGTAATCTTCTTGTAATTGCAGCCAGCTTGATCAGCTTCAGGAGGTTGTATTACGTGGTATGTCTGTATATGGGGTAGGACCACATGGCAGTGAGCTACTACAGCATACTCCTAATATAGAGGAGCTAGATATATCAGCTACACTAGTATCATCTTGGTTATGTGTGTCACAGATAACTGAGTGTCTTCCTAAGTTGAAATCACTTAATGTTAGGTAAGTGTTTGTAATAAGACAGAAAGAGAACTGAAGCCTACAACAAAAGAACTTTGAGAATATAAAAATCTAATGAATAAGACAAAATTAAGACAAAAAATGATTAAGAGGATATAATCCAACAACAACCAACGTTTTACTTTGAAATTTTCACAAAAAACTGGGTTTGGTATTTATGGTACATAGAAATACCAGGCGTCAGTCCCTCTCCTATAAAATTTTTGCCAGATTTTTATGAAACTTATATTGTAGGTTAATATTAGCAATGTCTCGGACGAGTTTCAAAATCAGTGCCAATCAACTATTTTTAAAAGAGTTATGTCCTTTGGCATGTACAATTTTTGCCAGATTTTGATCAAATTCATATCAAAGGTATATAACAGCTTTTCAATTTCAATGGACAATTTCAAAAATAGATAAAATATTTTTGATGAATTTCCCTTGGAAATATTAAATATATCGGAAATTGCTCTCAAGTCTTCAAATCTCTAGTAAACGATAATTTTAAAAAGTTTTAAAGAACAAAAAAATGTTTTAGTTATTTCCCTTGGACAGAACAGATCAAATATGTGCAATGCGGGGGACATTGGAACTCTGTTCTTTTATAATTTCAGTGAAAATGTATTACCAATAACACCAGGAGCAGACGAGGATATGCCATGCTTTAGTACAGTAGAAATCCTATATATCAACAGAATGCACTATACTTGGAAACAGGTACTTATATAACACATGCTTTCAGGTGCAGATTTAGAAACTTCCTAAAAAAAATGGAGTTATAGAGAGTTCAACATGAAGGGATAACAATAACTATAAGCTAAATGTAAAGAAAAAAAATGTTTTCCTTTGAAAGTAAACTTACCTTGTAATTTGTACATGTATGTAATTCATTACAATGAAAAAACAAACGAGCATTAAAAAGTTTATCAGTTTCCTTAGACTTCCACAAGCATAATTGGATACATATTTAAGAATTGTCTGTAAATATGCGATTGTATTATAATCTACACTAAGTGATTTCATTATAGTAGGAGTCAATCACTGTGGAATAGAGTGCTTTTCTTCAACAGTTTATTACCTCTGATTAACGAAATTGTTTCCATAGAATAACACAAGGTCAAAATTAAAGCAAAAGAGATTTAGCAATACAAGCTATTGCATTTTGAGATAATATAAGCCAACAAATTGAAAAATAAGTGAAATCACTGTTAATCATTCTTTTCAGATTTTGCAGACTTGTAAGATGTTTCCGGCACTGAAACAGTTACACTGCTGTTTTAATTCAGTTGAAAAGTTATGTCTGCCAAGTTCTTTAGATCAGCTTACACTTCTTAATCTGGAGTCAAATAAAGTACCATCCTGGGACAATGTACTACAACTAGCTGGCTTATCTAGGTAAATGGTTTTACTTACATGAATAAATTTAAGGTATTGTTTGGTGCAATCATGCAACAATGTACTGTTGATAGTTTGTGTCCCATAGTCGCAAGTAAGTTTTTTTTTTTTGCAAAACTTTCTATACTGACAAAAAAATAGTGCTAAAACTTGTACTGCATTTTAATTGTTGTCAAGTATTAAATATTTGTTCAATTTGATAGAACAAAACCTAATGATTCATTTTGATGAGAAATTATATAAATGTCATTGATGACACATATTCTAGTGTACAGTTGTACATCCATCTGTCTATCTCTGTTCACATTCAAAAATGTATAGATATTTGATTTATGAAACAAGGGATGAAATTTTGCACATGTTGTAATAACTTCATTTTAGTATTATCAAATGTCATTGAATTAATGAACAATATCTCAACCAACATAAGTTGACAAATAAAATGAAGTGAATTTGATGTGATACTCCTTACGGAAATATAATATGGTACAACATCAAATAAAATTACTTATTACATTGGACTGGCATTCAAGTATGGTAAGAATGTGTTTAATTTCTTTATTTCTTATATCTCAATAGGTTGGAGACATTAATACTTAATGACAACAAAATAGAAAATATCTATTTTCCTGATGTACCTCCTGGAGATACCACCAGTTGTTTCCCTTGTTTGAAGTCTCTGTCAGTCAATTACAACAAAATATCAGAGGTTAGTAGGAAATATTTCTTCCGATAAATTATTTCCCTTAGTTGAAATCATTTGATGTTTTATAAAAAAAAATACTTGTTAATATAAATAAGAAGATGTGGTATGAGTACCAATGAGACAACTATCCATCCAAGTCACAATGTGTAAAAAGTAAACAATTATAGGCCTTCAACACGGAGTCTTGGCTCACACTGAACAGCAAGCTATAAAGGGCCCCAAAAAGACTGGTGTAAAACAATTCAAACAGGAAAACCAACGGTCTAATCTATATAGAGAAACACTTATGAACCACACTAACAAACAACAACCACTGAACAACAGGCTCCTGACTTAGGACAGGTACATAAAAATGCAGCGGGTTTAAACGTTTTAACAGGTGCCTGTATATTTGAAAGAATCAAAGACAACTATATAGTTGGAAAATAATGTTGATACGAATAAAAGGAGATATATACTTATAACATAAAAATTTTATGTGAAAAATAGATAATTTTCTTGAAGTCTCAAACAAGTGTTTCTCTACATTGTCTGATTTTTATGTATGGCTTAATGTAAAGAGTGAAAGAAAGATGATATGAGTCCTGGAAATTCAGCTTGCTAGTTTTAAGCATTTTGGTTACTGTCAGGAAGAAACCTGGCCAGCTAATAAAAAGACATCAGGTATTGATACAGTATCATAAGATTGTCATGAATATTTTTGATTATTTTCAGTGGAGGAGTATCAATGAACTAAATAAGCTACAACAGTTAGAAGAAATAAGAATTGTACATAATCCTATAATGGACCTAGCTACACCAGAAACAGTTAGACAGATGATAGTGGCTAAGATATCTACTTTGAAAATGTGCAATAGAACTGAGGTAAAAAAGACAGTTGTTTGTATTGCAGTTTGGTTAAATAAGAGATAGTCATGTGATACATGAGATAGTCAGGAGTAAAAAAAAATCTTTTATACATGTTCACAGATAATAAGATAGCTGTCCAACAGTAAATGCCTTTTAATTGAATATTTAGAGGTCACCACATGCACACTCGGGAAGCTTTCACCCACACTATATATTTAACTCAAAATTGTGTGCGGACATGAAATGGTGTGACACACTTTATAAGAGATGACCAAAGATCTGAATATTAATATTTAAATCCATATTTGGTCTTTTCATTTCAATATTGCAAAGTGAATTCACATTTTAGAGAAAGGAAAAGGAAAAATGGACAGCAAAAACCATTGGCTCATGGTTTCATACTGGAGACAGGCCTATAACAATATACAGTTGTAAGGGGAAAGAAGAGATGTTGTATTAATTCATAGCACAAAATCCCTATATACACTTTGCAAAACCCAAAGCAAAAGACCAGTGCTTTTATTGCTGTTTTTTCATCTTCATCACAGTAAGACCTTCAGCATTGGGCAAAAGCTCACACACATATTATTGCAAATTATACCAGTTCCCTAGCAGATACTGATATGCTTTAGTCTTAACTGAAAGCAAAGGAGCAATGCTTTGTGTTTCTGTTCTTCATCTCAAAGTCATAGTAGAAGCCTTCAATGTGGAGAAAATACTCACACTTAATTGCATGTTTTAACACTGCCCTTAGCAGATACAGATCTCTTTAGCATATTGTAGCTAGATTGAACTAATTTAATGAATATATTCACTCCTATATTGCAGGTATTTGAGGATGAGAGAAAAGGTGCTGAAATTGACTACCTGAAAAGATTTGGTCCACACTGGTTAAAGGCAGGTGGTCACCAGGATGAGGACAAAGACAATACAAGTGCAGAATTCCTTCAAGAACATCCAAGCTTCAAAGAATTTCTGAAAAGTATGGATCTGATTCAACTCAATCTCATTCAATAGAAAAGAAGGGCGATATGGTGTATTAATTCAGGACACACAAATTCCTACACACACTTGACAAAACCCATAGCAAAGAAATAAAAGCTTTTTTTTGCTGTTTTTCATCTCAATCACAGTAAGGCATTCAAAACAGAGTAAAAGCTCATGTCTCACTGCAACTTCAGAACACCACCTGTTTTTGCAGAATTGTTTGTCCGAATTTTCATTTGTAAATCAAATATGTTTACTGGTAATGGATAATTGTTTCTGTTTGTTGTTTAAAAGTATTGAATTTATGGAGAGACAAAAATAAACATTTTAACATGTGTTCATTTTATGAATTCATTGAATTGTGATAAAAAATAAATGTTTGTAAATATTTGTAAATTTTATTTTTCAGAGTATGGTGCTCCAGAAACTTCAGAAATGGAACAGAAATCAAAAACCCTGAAAGACAACCTCATTTGTATCCTCTTTAGTTATAATTATGGATGTGCTATGAATACTATTTTAGCATTAAGTCATAAATACTGGTACTCATATCCAAACGAGGTGGTTTTCATTGTAGCTTGCTTGCATTAAGTGCAAGTGGCTTGGGTTCAACTATAAAGGATGAAAAATTTAAAGATTTAAATAGGTATTTGATAAATTTTTGCATCAAGCTAGCAACATTTTGAAGTTCTTGTTAACAGAAAAGACTAGTGGACTTAGAGTTAAAATCATGTCTGGGCAGAAAACTTTATAAATGGGATTGTTAAAAATTCTTTCTAGTACAAATCAGCATATATTTATTTGCCATAAGCTTTATTGTCTTGAATTTGCATGTAATATTTGCCATTGAGAGTCATCATTATTTTATTTGAGTGGAAACAAAAACATTCAAAGCTCCTGTTTATTTATATTTATAAGAAGTTAAGTTGTATTCTCTATGTCTGTTTTACTACTGTAAAACTATTTTTATTGATGAGTAACAAGTTCTACTGAGTTTTGTGGTTCATCAACCTTAAATTTTGATAATAAAATACTTAACAAAATGCACTTTTTTCTGTTGCTATGTGAAAAAAATCTCCCATTTGAAAATTTACAAATCAAAGGAACAAAAAAATAACATGAGAAATTGAATTCGTAATAACAATGAATAATATGTTCTTTTTGACTTTGTATACAGAACATGCTATAGTTTCTTTTATCCTTAACACTCAACAGCTGTCAAAATAAGAAATCCTGACCAACCTGACCAAAGAGTTATAACTAAAAAGTTACCAGGTATTCATCCTTTGTTACTTGCCTACTTTTTTTTACAAATATGCTTAAGGACAGTAGAATAAGCTATCTTTTGTTTTTGACATTTGAAAAACTACTCATGTAAACTGAGGAATTGGTAATTTAGCGATCACCACGTAAGTATTGCTACAATAGCTATTATGCTCTTAAAAAATGCAGATAGTGAATAGATTTTTTGTTGTCTGGAGAAAGTTTTCTGCCACTAAAAATGCCAACGGACAGTCAACATTAAACTAACAATAAATAAAACAAATTGTATCAAAAGAGCTAAATTATAAAACCCATAGTAGCATCACATTCCCTAAAAAAAATGTAAAATTTGATTTTTTGTCTCGCCTTGACGTAGTCAAAAAGCGAGACACAGGTATGCTGTTTCCGGCGCCAGCGGCTGCGTCAAATATGTAATTGTTTGTGATTAGGTCTAGTTTATGGTAAATGACAAGTGGTAGGTCAATGATATTTATTATGCAGTTGTATTAGCATTGGCACATCTCATTTCCATGGAGATTATTTGGCCCTGCCCCCTCAGTCATAGTCTATTGACTTTGAAACTTTTGCTTAGTTTACATGCATTAGTTTGTAATTAGGTCAGTTTATGGGGAACCACTAGAGGTAGGTCAATGATATTTGGTATGCAGTTGTATAAGCATTGGCATATCTCATTTCTATGGAGATTATTTGACTCCGCCCCCATAGTCATGGTCTATTGACTATGAAAATTTTGCTTAGTTTACATGTATTAGTTTGTGATTAGGTCAGTTCAAGAGGAACCATTAGTGGTAGGCCAATGTTAATTGGTATTCAGTTGTATAAGCATTAGCACATCTCATTTCCATGGAGAATATTTGGCCCCGCCCCATCAGTCATGGTCTATTGACTTTGAAACTTTTGCTTAGTTTATATGTATTAGTTAGTGATAAGATCAGTTTAAGTTAAGTCAATGATATTTGGTATGCAAATTTATTGGCATTTGCAAGTATCGTTTCCATGGAGATTATATAGCCCCACCCCCTCATCATGGTTCATTGACTTCGAAACTTTTACATAGTTTACAAGTTTGTGTTTAGGTTTGTTTAAAAGGAACGACTTATAATAAGTCAATAGTATTTGGTATGCAGTTGCATTAGCATTGGCACATCTCATGTCCATGGAGATTGTTTAGCCATGTACCTTCAGTCATGGTTCATTGACTTTGAATATTTGCATAACTTACGTGTTAAAGTATTGCTATTTTAATTTCAACATTTGCATAATCAAAATTACAAAAAATCTAGACATTTCTTTGTGATAACAGTTTATTTATGATTGCAGTTACAATGGTGATACAGAAGGTTAAAACCTTAATACAAAGGTTGTACAAAGTTGGTGCTGATGAAGTAATATTGTCATATATTAGCAAAAAGGTAGGGATACATAAATGAAAGCTACAAATTTGCATGTTAGTATCTGCAATGGAAACTAAATCAAGTGCAGGGTTTTTAGCCTTTTACCTGTTTGTCATTACGTCATCTCTTAATTTCCTTTCCCATTCATAAATTCATAAAATTCAATATCATCAAATTTAGAAGTGAAAATTTACCCCAAATAATGTGTTACTTGAAAATTTTATATTGTTTTTTTTGTGAAATTTTGTAAACTTTGTATTGCTTGCAAATTCAGTCAAATATTTTCTTTTAACATTAATTTATTTTACATTTTAGATGCCTGAACAAGAAATTCCTTTCGACAATGATCTGAGACAAATATCTTTTTATTCTGTGGAGAATGATGATGAAATCCTAGTCAGATGGTGAATCCAGAATCCTTCAACAACTCAGCCTCTCATATATTTTCATACATTTGACTTGTCCTAATGAAAATTGTCTTCAAATTGTGAACATTTTTATTTAGCTAGAAGTTGCAGAAAAGAATTTTGAAATAAAATGATTTAATTTGTATGATTAAATAACCAAGCAATCAGATAGTAAATCGTGTAGATATGGGGTGAATGTAACGAAGGAAATAACAGGCTATGGATGAGGCACTAATCACACAGCAAGATAATAGTGCTTTTATTGCTGTTCTTCATATTAAAAATCAGTGTGAGTCTCAAGGCACCCAACATGAACAGAAGACAGCACCTACAAGATGTTCCTTGGTGTTGAGATATAGCAGGTTTAAATGTTGCATATGACGAAACTTGTTTGGCTAAATATATTCAAAAGGATATTGAAAAGTTAAAAAAATATCTGGTCAAATTTTTTTTACTTAAACTGAATAAGTTTTTAATGTTAAGGTGAATTGCTACTTCGTCAAATAAAACAAATCTTGTCCAAGTCTTGTTTGTAATTTTTATTTGAATACCATCAATTATATGTAAAATAAATCAGTAAAAACTGATCTATTATCAAGTTTTAATGTAAACCAATGATGAAGAACTTACTATAACTATTATCTATATCTGATGAATGCATAATAGATATTTCATTAATTTTAAACATTTAAGTTGTCTTCCATTTTACAAAAGATAAACACCTTATAATTTGTGTTATGTTTTTATAGTTTTACACCTGGGAGTCAACAATATCTATCATCTGAAAAACTGAAAACTACACATGTGATTTTTGTAATAACTTGAATCAGTATGCACAATAATACAAAATACTGACTTTTCTTTTTCAATCTGTGATAAATCTCATTTTACTTGGAATCATGCAACTTGTTTGCAATCATACTAATACAGTGTGTACCAAATTTTATACTTAAATGAAAAATCTGGGTATTGGATGTTACTTATTTTCAAACTATGGTCATGTATTAAAGAAGAGGTCCTTTTGTTTTGAAAAATTAGATTATGGTAGGATCTGTGGGACTGTCACTTAATTACTGTAAATTTTTATTTTTCTAGTGGCAGCAATTTAATATAGTCATTTCTAACTTAGTTGATGTATTCATAAAATTGAAGATCCATTATTTTTACTGGTGAAAGTTGCGTAAATTAATCTCTTGTAAAAATTACTGTGGATTCATTTATTTTCGTGGGTACTACTGATTTTCGTGGATTGAGGAAAAGCTGTATATTCGTGAATATTTGCCAAAGTCTGAATACAAGCCTATAGAAAATTTATTTTTCTTTAAACATTTAAATTTTTAAATTTTACAACTAATTAATAGTATTAGAAGCAAATTGGATAACCTAGCAACAGCGATATTGTTTGACAAACTAGGTTAACTCTCAATAATTTTTCACTTAAGCTTCATAAAATATGACACTTTAACAATAAATATCACCATATAGTGAGAGTGCAAGGAATTTAGGTTTTTAATGCACACTTTTATCTTTTAAGTTTGAAGTTGTAGTCAACTGTTGCAGGATCTTTGAATTGCTCCTGGATTACAAAAGTAGGAATTCTATGAAGTTTTTGGTACTAAAGTGACATTGTTAAATCCACGTAGACCAAGCTTAATCTCCTTCATTCATTTAATCATTTATTGTTCCTAGTTGCTAGAAAATCAAGAAATGAGAATGTAATTTTTCACAGAAATGTTGTAAGCACCATGGAAATTTTTGTCAAAAATAAACTTAATATTATTTATATTGTTAAGTTATTTGTACTGCTATAAAGCATAAAGACTTTTACCTTCTTAAATATTGTGTTTAGTTATAATTTTGCCATTAAAGTTTTTACCTTCAGACCACTATTATAGTTTTTGCCTTCAAACCATATGGTGAGAGACCCTTTTTGAAATAACTGCATGCCCATCGTCATGTGGACTGTGAATCAAAAAGTCCCTATTGCTGGCTATTTTTCTCTCACTAGATGCTGTGGCTATATCAGGGGATCAGGTTGTTTTGATTGAGGAAGGGTTATCAGGTCCCAGTTGAAAACAGAATGTATGAAACAGTCATTTTTTAGGACCCTTATATTTAAAAAGCACAAAGTATTAGAAATCTGTCAAACACATCCTTCAGATGTACAGAAGACATTATTAGTCTGTCAGATATTAACAAGAATCATTAAAGAACAATGGCTAAAATGCCATCAGAATTGGTGTCCATCCTATTCATTTATCAGTTAAAAATCTACCTTTACGATTTAAACAGCTACAAAGTAATATTGCCAAAAGTTACAGACTGAGGGACAAGGTGATTGCAATATACGACCAGCTTTGTGAGTTTGAGTATAAAATAAAGATATTTTGGTGTCATAAAAGTATGAGATGACTAACTATTATTTAAGCAATATACATTAAAGAGGTTCTTGGCTTTGGATCAACAGAACCAATTGGTAGTGAATTGATTTTCATATTTATGAATAACAAGAGGTGACACACTAAAATGTCTTGCCAGTTGAATTATAAAAGGAAGCGAAATTTGAAACTGATTAAATGAAGTTGGTAAGGTGCATATGTTTACATGCAATATATTTTCAACCTATTGGGCATAACTTTTGAGCGAACTTAAATGACCACTAGAAATGAAGTTTAAGCCATATTTCATATGCAAGATAAACAAATACTCCTCATAACCAATCCAAAATGACATGCAAAATACTGTAACCTATCATGTCTATTAACTGACGAACAAAAACTTTATGATGACCACTGGGTCGAGAAATTGAGGTAAAAGATCATATGACATAATAATGTAAAACGAACATATACTCCTCACGACTAATCCACATACCAATATTGTTGAACTATCATGTATATTTATGAGGAACAGACCAAATCCTGAAAACATTACGATGACCAATGCAGCATGACATATAGGTCAAGGATATATGACAATGGACAATAACTCCTCACAAACCAATCCATATACCAAATATTGTTGAACATACATCAGCCTGAAAATGTTAGAATCACCACTGGAGGATGACATTTAGGTCAAGGATATATGACAATGAACAATTATTCCTCACAAACCAATCCATATACCAAATATTGTTGAACATACATCAGCCTGAAAATGTTAGAATCACCACTGGAGGATGACATTTAGGTCAAGGATATATGACAATGAACAATTATTCCTCACAAACCAATCCATATACCAAATATTGTTGAACATACATCAGCCTGAAAGTGTTGGAATCACCACTGGAGGATGACATTTAAGTCAAGGCCATATCACATATGTAGATGGACATTTACTTCTCAACCAATAAACATACTACATGTACCAGTAAATATTGTTGACCTACCATGTATATTTACAGAGGAAAATTTCAAAGAAAATATTCATAATTTTATCAATAACAAAATGTTTATTTTTAGTTTTTATTTCAAAAGAATGTAATGTCATAAAATTCCATATGGCATACATATATTATGCTTATCAAATATTTATATGAAATAACAAAAAATCAAACTATTATGCAAGACAAAACAAACATACATTTATATAAATACACAGTAAATTGAACACAATCTTACATTTAAAACAACAGATTAAGAGACATTACATGAACATTAAGGAACACATATAAGTATTGCATTTCTCACACTTAATTTCCAAAAGGAAAAACAAACAATATGTAAACACTTAGATTGAGTAAAAATAATGAGATCTAGCTTACAAAAACTTACTATGATTTACAGTTGGAAAGAATCCAGTAGTATGGAATTTGAAAGTACATATGTTTACCTCTGGATGTGTTATGATTTTTTGTGTAGGTTGGTTGCTGTCTCACTGATGTATATTCTGCATCTTTTAAGTAAACACACACATATTTTTTGACATGTGTAATGTTCAATAATAGGATGTTGGTAAGTAAATATAAATAATGTTCAATAATAGGATGTTGGTAAGTATATATAAATAATGTTCAATAATAGCATGTTGGTAAGTATATATAAATAATGTTCAATAATAGGATGTTGGTAAGTATTTATAAATAATTTTGTTTTCAAATATTAGTCTTTCAACTTTTTGAACTACAGAACCTTCATTTTCAAAGGCAAAATCTTTGAAAGATAACTACTTTTTACATCCTGAAACAGATAAAGGAAAATCCGTCATATAAAGTAAACTGGTGTTTCACAGATTGAATAAAAATTTTATGCTGGAATTATATTTTTAAAATAAATCCTAATATTAGACAGTAAAATAATCCCATTTCACAAATAATATTGAGCTGATTATTGTTCTATTTGCCATGTAAAAAAAAGACATGCAAAATTATTGCTTTTGTATTCAGAATGAAATGAAGTTACGTGTTTCTTAAAAACTTTGTCTTAGAATACTAAAAATAGGTGCATTGTGTATCCAAAAAACGATAAATCAGTTTTATGTGCACCTAGATGTATTCATGATCATACACTGACCCACATGTCCCATGGAAAAGGTATTTGATCAAATTGAGATTTTATATTTCTTTTCTTAATATCTAAAGACATTTCAAATCTTAATGAATTTGATCTAGCCCGAGATATAACATCTTGGTGTTGACTTGGAGGTAAGGAGGTTGTCTCCCCTGGATCATCTTTGATGTTATAAACTAAAGGCTCTTCAAGTATATAACCACTGCAATCATTTGATATATTTTGAGAAACAAAGTATATTTTGTAATCTCCCACAGTAGCTGCTGAGAGATCTCCAGTATCACAGTAATGGAGTAATACTTTATGGATTTCATCAGACTTTTTATTTGGATTTTTAAATAAAGGTTTTAAATCTTTGCCATCAAAATGTCTCATATGCGTTCTTTGAACTTTATTTTGTTGTCCAATCAGGTGCTGAATTGTGGGGAAAATATCCATCACAGATGTGACCACAGTAGTTTCTTGGTTAGGTTCAATGTAATTCGGCCAATTAACAATAGCTGGTACTCTTATACCTCCTTCTCTAAGAGAACCTTTTTCACCCTGTAGTTTCATGTCCTTACTTGAATGTTTCACATGAGAATTTGTATATGGGTGTGTTAAAACAGGACCACTGTCCGAGAGGAAGAATATAACCGTATTGTTTTCCATTCCTTGATCCTGAAGAGTATTCATTACCTCACCAACACTCCAATCTAGTTCCAAAATAGAATCATAGTATTTATTAATCCCAGACTTGCGCAGGAAATTTTTGGAAGCAAATGCAGGATGTCCTGGCTGATGATATGATATGATTAACAAAAACGGAGGTCTTTTCCTAAATTTTATGTAATGTTGTGCTTTCTCCGTTATCTGGCGAGTCAGTGTAGTATCAATATAAAAATCTTCTTTCACCATCTGGTTGTCAAATATCTTGCATGTAATACTGTTTAATGGGAGCATCCAGCAATATATTCTAAAAATACCAATACTTATACACACCACAGATATCAGAAGTATGAGTAATTTCATACTTATGAAAGAAAGCATCTTTGATGAGATTATTAAAATCAGAAATGTTATGATAAGGGGTCCTAGTTCTGCTAACACTAGCCAGAAATAGTCAGAGTCTGCAAGAAAGTCCTCAACATCACTGCTACATGCAGGACTATGTCCCATAACAGTGCCATAAAATCCCCCGAATCCTTGATTAGTAGGCAGTGACCAGGACCATGAACCAAGACCCCAACGTCCAAATAAGAAAGGTACTTGTCCTTTCATATCATAATATTTGGCCATATTCATTTCATTGAGTGGAATACCACCAGACTGTGCAACACTCCAAAAACTTGGCCAGCCTAAATTTCCTTTCACTAGTCCCATTCTCATTGGCTGCCGTCCTGAAAAAAACAAACAAAAAACATAATCAACAATTAAGGAGCTTGTATCAATCACATGGAGCTATATGAAAATAAATGAACTTAATCAGAATACCAATGATATAGAATTATGTTCTCCAATAACATAAAACTGTGTCCTAAGATGATGTATATCTATGTTCTACAAGCATGGCCATTATTTGTTTAGTTCTAGGTTGATTTAAATTACAAAAAATAAATTAAAGTTTGGCAATGGATATTCAACTACCATACTAAATGATAAAATGACCAAAACATGACGATCAAAGCTGATCATCAGAGGCTGCATATCAAATGATCAAAGTGGTGTAATACCTTTATTTTTAGAAACAACAGCCAACTTGATTTGCATCACCATATAGATTTTTGAAACTTAATAACCTTGGGTTGATGCCAACTATTTTTTAGTTTCAATTGACAGGCATAGTAGTAGTTTCAGAGAAAAAGATTTTTTTAAAGATTTATAAAGATGATTGACAGACACTGAGTAAATTGGAATGGTAATCAGAAGGAAGTTATGTTTTTCTATAGTTGCTGATGTCACTACATTTACTTTTTTTTATTTTTTACATCAAAGATGTGCAGATGTGGAAAGCCAAGTATAGGTTCTGATAAAATTAATCTCATCTCTGATATTTTACTACAAATATACTGTGAAAATTTTGTTAAACTTGTTGGAAGTATAATAAGGATTTCAAATACAAGTGAAATAGGTGCATTGTTTGGTAGATACTTAGCAATGAAATTATTAATTGAAATGGTATTTTAAAAAAAATCTCTTAAACCAAGAATTTTTTTAAAAACCATTAAGTTAAACCCAAGACTTTTGATCTGTACCAAATGATTGTAAATAGTTATCAAAGGTACCAGGATCAAAAGTAACTGGAATTGATTACAACAATGACAATTGTGACAATGTGGACTCCACAACAACAAAGTCATCAGATGACTTGAAAAAATAACATTGTCACAAATTTAATGATTTTGTTTGAAATGTTCTTGCCATAATCATGATAATTCAGCTAGTTTACTAATATAGAAAAAGAATCATATAAAAAAATTAGATTGCAATTACTTCAATCATCATTTAATATTAATGACCAATTCTTAATCAATTAAACTAATATGGTAATTATTAATTTATATATGGCTCTACCCAGTTACTAGTTTTTACAAATTTTTAATATCATAATCTTCTACAGGCATATGTAAATTTAAATTTATAACATTAACACTTTATATATGAACTCATATTAAGGTTTGATGATGCAAAATTGAAAAAAAGTAGCTAAACCAAAATCTGCAAACAAATGTCACAGGCACTTTGGACATGCCTTTAGATTCATTATTTATGTTAATAAAATATGTTACTCTTAAACAACAATCTATTATTATTTTTGACAATTATACTGTTTTATAATAGTTTCATCTAGATATATATGAATAAAACTTAAAAGGGTATGGGGTATATTACAATGACAAGGCAACCAGACAACACAAACAAATAACCAAAAGTATTTAGTTTTTTGTATATAAAATGTTATTTTATTGTACTCTTGTCGCAAAGTTAATTGCCCTGTTTAGTCTTGAAAACTTTCCCCAAGTGCATGACATTCTGTACTTCCATGCTTTACCTGTATATATAGCTGCTAGGCTTCCAGCCTCTGAAGGCATCGAATACATTCTGGTCAATTTCAGACCATTCTTGGCAAGTTTATCAATATTTGGGGTTTGTATTAGTTCATTTCCAAAGCAACTCAAATCTGAGTATCCAAGATCATCTGCTATAAAGATTATTACGTTCTTAGCTCTTTCATCTGAGCTGTGTGCTAAGTTGGAGATAAAGGCGACACAAGACAAAATTGTCAAGAAGTATGAAGTTGTTGACATATTTCCTAAGGGAATTGATAAACAGCTCATACATTATGGTGAGGATGAGATAAAATTCCGTATAAGACCTTGGACTCTGGTAAGACCGTAACAATTCATCTATTAATAATTTAGTAAACAAGCAAGGATTTGTATAGTATACAAATCCTTGAAGTAATTGGATATTTTATTTTAAGAGGGTAGCACAGCAACAAGAAAAAGCTAACATTCCCTTTAAGCATTCGTGCAAACACTTAAAAAGACCTTTCCTGGGATAACTATAACTATGTAAAAAGGTAAATTTTTAGACCGAAACCTTTGAAGTATGTGTTTGCTTCTGTTGTTTAACCAGAGGCATATGTAATGAAGGGTAAGCGGACAAAAAGTCACAAATTTGATAGGACAAAATCACAAGTAATGTGTGTATAATTGCTTGAATCTATCAGAGACATATAATATGTATTATATGTCTCTGAATCTATAATATAAAGTTCTTGAAATAATTTCTTTTTATTACGAATATTCATTTTACAGTTAAGGAAATTATTCATAAGTCTTGACAGAGACATGTATTATATGTCTCTGGTCTTGATAAATGAAGGTTTATTGTTTATCACGCAAAGGATATATTTCTTGGCACAATGAAGCCATTTCGGTACCAAGCCTGACACTTTGACAAATTGTTTTCTTAATTACTTAATCATTATTTATTTATTTTTTAGAATAAATTTTGTTAGCAAAGTATTCAAAGAAAAATTATCTCAAAACTGAATTGTGACTTTTTGTCCCCTGTGACATTTTGTCCTTTACTTTTTGTCTGCGACTCTCTGTCCTACATTCTTATCGAAGCGATCGGTTGCACGGTCGGAGGAAATAGGTTACTATGATACTTAGTAATGAGAGGAACAACAAATAATAAACATAAAATATTTTTTTAGCTTGAACAGTGTATTAAAAACTTCTTGTCTACTTGTACGAACTGTGCTATATAGCTTTTTTCATTACGAAATTAAGCTGTGGAAACGATACGAGCAACGAATCTAATCCTTTAGTGACCTTTACCCCCATCGTTTGAGTTTGTTCCTGGAGGGTGCGTCTAAACACTGCTAAGGAGTCCTTAGTGCACTAAGGACTTATAATATGCCACTAAGGACTAGATGGGGTGCTGTTACATGTAATTTGTTTTCATATTATGGTAGAGATCGATATTTAATGCATAAATTTCAAATTTTGTAGAAAAATAATCACAAATAAATCAGTAATTTAACATTGTTTAGACACGTGCCGTTTTTTCTTTGATATTGCCGAAAATCAATGAACCGTTAGACACGTGTCAAATTATAACCCGAATAATTCAGTCGTTATATTCCGCTGATCTACGAAGTGTGGGAGAAAATCGGACACGGAAAGGGCTTGAATTATTCGAGTTAGTCAAATTACATAACTGATTACACTGTTATCTTAATTTGGAACAAGTATTTTACAGTTTTATCGCTAAAAAATTGCCAAAAGTTAGATACGAATAAATGAATTATTTTTCAGTTTCAGATTATTTCAATGATCAATTTTGATTTAATTTCGCACTGAATAAGTTGTTTAAATTTTATTAAATTTTTTTTCAGAATCAAGGATTTGTATATTTCTTTACAATATTCTAAGTTTGTAAGAGAATGATAATCCCTTACTTCATGATAAGTACTCGCTAACGCTCGTACTTAATCATGAAGAAAGGGATTATCATTCTCTTACATATACATAGTATATGGAATCGTCCAAACGGATTACCTAATATTGATATAGGTGAAATATGTAGATTCAGAATTGTGTACACAGAAATAAGATCAGAAATAAAGCCCTATGTAAGGTGAAAACAATAACACAACTGTATAAAATCATTGTTTATTAAATTTGCTTGCATAAGAACCATGAAGTTAAAATTTATAACGATTACGTTTGTCCTGTCAACCCCTTTTCTTCATTGCATCAAGGCTTCCGTTGCTTTACATCGAGCAGCAATTCAACCAATCGAGGAATGTTAAGTTGGGACATACCTCTATTTTTGGAAGCGTGATCTTTACATCGAGGCTTGCGTTGCTTTACACCGAGGCCACAGTAGTTCGACCAATCGGGGAATGTTTATTTGGGGCATGTGACCTATTGAACTGCAGGTTTTATAATATTTTAATCGAAATTGTAGAAAAATGAAATGTTGTTAGTACATACAAAACAGAAATTGATGAATACTTTTAGTAAAAGATAATTTGGATCCGGGTTCTGTGTATTCACATCATTTGTACAACTCTCCTTACTGATGCCATTTTTTGGAATTTCTGTGACCTAAATGGTTCGCGAAAATTAATATTTTATTATATATATAGTAATAACACGTTTGATCAAGGATTTGTATAAAAATCCTTGGTTTGAGCAATATCTTTCAGGACAAAAACGAATTCTATATGAAAAGAAATTTTTACTTCATGCAACCAAACTTATATAATACATGAACCGTTTGGGCGGAAGATGTGGTATGATTGGCGATGAGACAACTCTTCACAAGAGACAAAATGCCACAGAAATTTATTAATTATAAGTCACCGAACGGCCTTCAAACAATGAGCAAAGCACATACCACATAGTCATTATTTCATAAATTATTTCGTACAATATCTTAAACAGAGAATTTGGTCAATAAAATACACATCGGATTTCCTTCTGACATACTTGTTCTTAAAAAAAAAAAATCTTTTTTTTTTCATATTTTACATGGGATAGATTTAGATATAAAGTATTCACATTATCTTGTATTCCAAAAATTGTTATTTTCGTATCATATGGTAAAAGCATATTTTCTAAGCAATTCGTACAAAGCATAATCTTTTTTTTTGACAAAATTATATCTTCAGCTCTAAATTAACACATACGGGATATTTTTCGTAAATCATGTGCTAAAAACTGTGGAACATTTTAAAAAACATTTGTCTCCTTTATATATTTGAAAATGAAACATCATTTGACTTGAGTTCGATATATGCTTTTTTTAAATTCTTTTACTTTAAGATAAAACAAATGTCGAACAATGAATAAATAAGTACCGTATGAAGCCTTTGTAAACAGCTATATATAGATTAGACCGTTGGTTTTCCCGTTTGAATAATTTTACACTAGTAATGTTTGGGGCCCTTTATAGCTTGCTGTTCTGTGTGAGCCAAGGCTCCATGTTGAAGGTCGTACCTATACCTATATTGGTCTCATTTTACAAATTGTTACTTGGATTGAGAGTTGTCTCGTTGGCACTCATACCACACCTTCCTATATCTATGTTATTCATATTGTCTATCAAACTGGTTGAAAACTAGTTGATTTGATAAACCACAAGGACGCCACATGATTTGTTCCCTATTTAATCGAAGTTCGTAAAGAGTAATCTAAAGTGGAAGCAAACATCATGTTTTATAGTTTTTCAGAATTTACTCATATTTTTTTAGTGAAACCATTTGTATATACACGCATCTAAATTCTTTAAAAAACTTTTACATATATCTATTCCTTTTGTCTTGGTATCTCCTACATAAACCTTTTAACAAGCTGACCACACTCTAACTTAATATTAGTTAGCGCACATCAGAGTCGTGCACCTATTGCAAATAACTTTGTCGGAAAAGAAATAAAACAAAAGCAAAATTATTTGTCCTTTTAATCATTGTAAATAAAAACAACACATTTAATTATAAAATATTAAACATTAATCTTTTCGAAACAATTGTTAAGTACTTAAAATAAAAAGATTATGATTGTTTATTCAGTTGTTATATTAAATGGCACGTGGCAATCGGTTCACTGATTTTCGGCATATCAAAGAAAAGCAGGCACGTGCCTAAACAATGCTTAATTACTAATTTATTTGTGATTATTTTTCTATAAAATTTGAAATTTATGCATTAAATATCAATATCTACCATAATATGAAAAGAAATTACATGTTACAGCACCACATCTAGTCCTTAGTGGCATATTATAAGTCCTTAGTGCACTAAGGACTCCTTAGCAGTGTTTAGACGCACCGGTTCCTGGATTATTAAGTTAGTTATCTATATACAAATCCTTAGTTGTCTCGAGAATTTGGAGATTGGTATATTAAAAATTTCTAATCCTAGGTTTTGTTTTTGTTAAATTGTTACATGTTTTAATCAAAGCTTCATAAGTCAGTTTTCTCAAATTAATTAATTAAATATTTTTTTTGTTGATTTAACCCTAACGAGTTTCTAGCGAGAACATGCACCCTTATACATAGGTTAAATACCTGTAACCTACTAAATTAATTAACAAAAATTATTTATGAACTATTTACGACCTAATTACACACTAGTTTATTAATTAGATGTGATAATTAGCGTTTAAGAAGCCATAAAATTGTCTGCAGGTAAAATTTCCTTTGAAGTTCAGGTAGATGAGCATCCTGGCAATAAACAAGGTACAATTAAGTGTTAGCTACTGTATACACACGGAGTTTGACAGCGTCCCAACAGCTTGCGAGGGAGGAGCAACATTAAGGTATAAATCATTGTCGCCCTGTCTCATGGCCATTATTTTTCGCTTAGCCATGAAACAAAATAGAGCTCAAGAATTAGACTGGTCTTCGAAGATAATGGACAACTTTCAGACACCTTGTAACAGATACTGTCAAACTTCTCTATTTGAATATGGTAGGTCTTGATTTCATTTTATGCTTATCGCAACTTTTACTTTTTCATACTTCAAATAATTCTCAAATAGTAAACCGACTTTATTGTGTTTAATTTATAACTTTTTTTCTGAGAAAAAGCATGGAGTTAAAAGTAGCTAACATAGGAATAACCTAGAGCTCTGGGAATAACCATGCAAATCGTATTGTTTTTTTTTTTTTTTTTTATTAGTTTGAATATTTTACTATAATTATGACTTGAACAGGAATAGTCTTAAAAGATGATTTGTGTATATTGAAGCAAACTCATTTATTTTGGTAAACGGGAAGAAAGTCAAAAGACAAAAAGATCA